GGAGGAAGCAGGCTCCCCGCCGAGCAAAGCCCGATGTGGGGCTCAATCCCAGGACCCTGAGATTGTGACCTGAGCCAAAGGCAGAGGCTTAACCCACTGAGCCACCCAGGCGCCCCTTAAATAAAGAAATATGAAAAAAAAAAAAAAGCCACATGCTCTATTGACTGAACCAGCCAGGCGCCCCACTAGAGCATCATTTACCCAAGTTCTTTGCCTCTTTATGACAAGGATCACCTTTCCTCCAGTTTCCAATAACCTGCTCTTCGTTTCCATCTGAGGCCTCACAGGAACTGCCTTTAACATCCTTATTTCCACCTGCCATCCCTTCATGGCAATCAGGGGTTTTTCTAGCCTCCCCTCCAAGCTCTCTCCACCTCCCCACTCTCTCCCTGCAACATGCATTTCCAAAGGCGCTCCATATGTTTCAGTGTTTCTTAGAGCAGCACCCCTCCTCTCCGTACCAAAATCCATACTAGTCTACTCAGGCTTCGGGAAAAAAATACAGGATCAGAGCCCTACCTTATGACCTCTTTAACTTGACTTCTTAGAGGCTTCTCTGGTCCTTAGAAGACTTTATCTCTGAGTATAGTCCTGTTGGGGGGTAGGGCTTCAACATATACACTTGGTGGGGGACACAAACACTCGATTCGTAACAACCACCTATTAAAATGTTCTTACCAGAGGAAGGAAACTGAGAAGGAGGAAAGGGTGGGGACGTTAGCGGCTTGCTAGGGCTGGGGCTTTTGCTCACTTGGCACATCGTTTTTTGTTGGTGGTGTTGGTGGTGGTGTTTTAAAGATTTTATTTATGTATTTGACAGAGGGAGAGAGAGAGAGAGCCAGAGAGTGCAAGCAGAAGGAGAGGGAGAAGCAGGCAGGGAGCCTGATGCGGGGTTCCATCCCAGGACCCTGGGATCATGACCTGAGCTGGAGGCAGACGCTTAACCGACTGAGCCACCCAGGCGCACCGACATCTCCACTGAACCTTCTTTTTCTTCATGCTGTAACAGTGTCTTTGCAGCCTGGTTTCCTGGCTGGACGGTGAGCCCTTCAAGGGCAGAGATTCTGTTTCTGTCACGGCCAAGTCCCCTGCACCCAGAGCAGGACTTGGCACACGGAAGAGCCACTTACATTTAATGGCAGAATCGAGGGCACGGTTGTGCTTTGCCCACTTCCCCCAGATCACCCAGGGCCACTGTCCAGCAGCCTGTTCGGTTTTCCTTTCCAGGCGGTGTGCCTTATGCTTTGCCTGCCCTTCCATGCGGGCATCTGGCACTTAGCAGGTGCTCTGTAGCTCGTGTTGTGGGAGGGGCAAAGCCAGATCATGGTACCAGACCATGCAGCTGTTGGGGTGGTTTGTGCCTCTTCTGTCTCTGGCAAGGACCACTGGAGTTACCAGCAGAAGGCCCTTTGATCAGGCGGAGGTAAGCCCAGTATCTGGTGTGTGGTAGGCACCCCGGAAATGTGAGTTTCCTTCCCTGCTGCCACCTGTCTCTCTGCCTTCCCCCTAGCTGTGGGACGGGCCTACTGGCTGACCCCTGTGGGCAACCTTGGAGTGGGCTGCGGCCTGGGCTTCCCCATCATCCGAGCTGGGCAGATTGTGGGTTGCCACAGGGGATTGGGGGGTTCAGGTCAGGCTCGGTGCACATGTTTCTGGACAGGTGTCCTGTAAGGACTGTCCCTTCTCTCCCAAGCTCCCCAAGAAATCTGTCATTCTCCTTCACATCCAACTCAAGGAACACTTCCTGCAGCACCTTCCCTGGCTTCCCCCAATGGGCCCATCTCTCCTTCTTCTCAGTGCGCAGGCCCTTTGCACTCACAGCTAGCCTATACCGCAGCTGGTGACTCACCTGTCTTTTCCCTCCTGCTGGACCAGGAGTTCTTGGAGAGCGGGCCTGGGCCTGAGCCACCAGCTCATTTTGTAGCTCCCCTGCCCCCACGCCTAGCACCGAGTAGGGAGGTCATGGATGTTGATTGGACTGAAGTATACCCTGGCTTTCCGGGGCTATCTCTGCCCTTGGCACAGAGGAGACTATCTCACCAATACGTTGCGGGAGTCAGAAAAATCTTCCCAAAGGAGGGGGCGTGGTGGTTTCCTCTGCATCCTGGGTCCCTGTAAGACCTGGGCCTCTAGCTTGGTGTTACTTTGTATTACTGTGAATTTTAGCGGTGGTTCTACTCTCGCTGGGGAGGGGGCGTATGAAGGCCTAAGGAGTATGGATCTCTGCTAGGCATCCCTGGTTTATTAGGGCCGATCTTGCACATGGTGGCACTCTCTCTTTAAGCACCACTAGGGCCCAGCCCCTTGGGGCAGCCCTACCAACCTCTACTAGCCTGGGTGTGTTGCTTTTGAGATGAAATCTAGTTGCCAGCCCAGGCCTAGGGCCTTTACACTCAAGAGAATGACCCTAGCATGGTTGGTAATAGACCCAGGAGCAAGACGTTGGAAGAAGCATAGTATTTTCATGCTCAAGTCTTCCCCCAAATCACCCCACAGACACATTTGCCTTTTCTGGGCCACGAGTATGCACCAACACCAAGGACAGGCTTAGGTGCCTAGGAAGATGACCAAGTGGTTGTCTTTGACCAAACTGTGTCTTTGAGGAAGGAAAGCAGCAGCATTTTTACTGATGTGAAGGCGGTAGTTCCGGGCCTGGCCCCCACGGGCTGGCGGAGTCTCACTTTCCTCGTCTCTCAAAATGTGGCCCCAGAATGGCCCAGCTCCGGGGTCATCAGTCAGGGTCAGATAAAATGTGGGAGATGACAGGGATTTCGTAAACAATTGAATGGCGCCTGCCAGAAGGCCCTCTCTCCCTGACACCGAGCAGCCAACTCCTATTCACCCTTGAAAGCCCAGTTCAGAAGTGGTCCTCTTGTCAGCTCTGACCCAGGTCAGAATCCAAACCCCATCCCTCCCTACCACCTGGGGTGTTTCCTGTGCCCCGGACCAGCCTCCTCATTGCCCCCCACCTCGCTGAGGCCATACTGGGTGGGGAGGAACGGGGTTGGGGGGTGGACAGGCCCTCCGAGCCTTCACATCAGACCTGGGCCTCACAAATGTAGCCACTTTGTTGTGCCTCAGGCCCAGTGTGAGCAGCTGGTGTGAAGAGCACTGTTCTGGGAGCCTGAAGACTCGGTGTGGCGTCACCCATCCCTGGGAAGAGCACATGGGAAGAATGAAATTTGGGGAACCAAGCTCCCCTGATCCCACACTTCTTATCTCTAGAGCCTCATAGCCACCCTTCCAGGCGGGGCTTGTCATCGGACGAGCAGCACAGAGCAGTGCAGTGGCTGGCCCTGGCCACAGGACGTCTCACAGCTCCACGTGTGGCCAAGAACATGGCATGTGGTCTGACAGGGCTGTTTGCGTCTCACTGGTTGAGTGATCTTGGGAAAGAAACTTCTTGCTCTGTGCCTCCCTGTCCTCATCTGTAAAATGGGTTAGTGACCTCTGCTCTTCTCACGAGACAGGATTGTGAGGACATGGTTGAAGAAGATGGAAATAAAGAACAAGGAAGCGGGGCATCTGGGTGGCTCAGTTGGTGAAGCGTTTGCCTTTGGCTTGGGTCATGATCACCGGGCCGTGGGATCAAGCCCCACGTCAGGGTCCCTGCTCAGTGGGGAGCCTGCTTCTCCTCCTCCCTGCTTGTGCTCTCTCTCTCTATCTGTCTCTATCTCTCAAATAAATAAAATCTTAAAAAAAAAAAAAAACAAGGAAGAAAGGAAGTCTGCAAAGGTATATTTGATAAACTTGCTCCCTCCCCAAAGTAGTTGGGTGCTTTTCACATCTTGGTGCCCCCGCATGTGTCTGCGCTCCAGCCCTTTGCTGAGGGAGCTCCCCCTTCCCGGCAGAGCCCTCGATCCTCTCTCTGGGACCATTTGGATGGGGAGAGAGCGAGGGCCACACTGTGGGGCAGAGCACAGAAGGGGCCCGTGAGTGTCCTGGACAGAAAGTGCTGGCTTGAGACCAGGCAGCTTCCAGCCCCCTTCCCGCTTGGCGGTGGGAGCCCCAGGCTCAGGTTCTGACCCAGGGGAGGGCCCACATCCCTTCTGGGCTGCCACCAGGTGGGACAGGCTGATCTTTAGCAGGCCTTCTAGACTGTACACGGTGCCATGGAAGCTGGGTGGGGTGTCTAGATCTGTCCAGGAGCTCCCGGCCCCTGGGGGGCTTGCCCTAAAGGAACCTGACCCCTAGCTGCTCTGCCTGAGCCTCCCTTCTCTTTAAGCAGCTCCCTCTGGAGCAGGCTCTGTGTGCCTGTGCAGTACCATCCACTTGTTCTCCTCGCTGAGCCTCTGTCTCCCTCATCGGGGGCATGGGAAATTCCCTCCACCTTGCCAAAATGGGGCACACGCTCTGCTCCCTGGTCTGGTATAGGCCACACTGGCTCCGGGCACGTGTGGGCTGTGCAGAGGGCTTGTTGGTGGTTAAAAGAGGGTGGCCTGGGTTCAAATCCTGCTTCGGGTGCCTGCTTGCCAGCTCATTAACTGGGGCTCCCTGAGCTTGTTTCCACCTTGGTAAAATGGAGACAAAATGACACCTGCCTCATGGCATTGTTCAAAGATTCCAAGAGATTCTTCTACAAAGTGCCTGGGTTTGGGGTGCTACGTTGTAGCTCTAATCATCTGCATCATTTTGTATCTTGTGTATCTCTTCTCCTTGGACTGGGTTTGCTGGTAAAGCAAGGTTTTCTCCTTGACCTTGGGGTAGTCTGATGCAGAATTGCCGCCCCACCCCCGTGTGTGAGGAAAGGCAGGTGGCCTCCAGGCAGCCCCTGCCCAGCAAAGGCACCGCGCAAAACAGTCCAGCGGGGTGTGGGTGTGGAGGGCAGGAGCTGCGTGGCTGGGTTCACAAGGTGTCTGCAGGCTGTGAGATGGGCCATGGCCCTTGGGGGCACCTGTGAAGTAGGATGAGTGTGGGAATGAGAGAGCCCACAGGGGGGTAGGGACGGTGACCGGCCCCCGGCCACTGCTAACTAACGGATAGACTGCTCTCTCCCCCAGAGACTGATGGAGAGGCAGAGACGGAAGGCGGACATCGAGAAGGGGCTGCAGTTCATTCAGTGAGTGTGGGGCCACCGGGCAGGCTGGGCGGTGGGTCCTCTGAAGGTTTCTTCTCCATAAGCCTTTGCTGCTCAGACTCCCATGTGTGCAGGGGAGCGAGGAGGTGGGACTTGCTAGGCAGGGGCCAGGGGAGTGTAGATCTGTGAACACCCCATGTACACACACTCCCTGACTCTGGTTACCCTCCAGTCCTGCTCCATCTACCATTTTATTTTATTTTTAAGATTTTATTTATTTCACAGAGAGAGAGATCACAAGTAGGCAGAGAGGCAGACAGAGAGAGAGGGGGAAGCAGGTTCCCTGCTGAGCAGAGAGCCCGATGTGGGGCTCAATCCCAGGACCCTGAGATCATGACCTGAGCTGAAGACAGAGGCTTTAACCCACTGAGCCACCCAGGAGCCCCTCCATCTACCATTTTACCCTCGCCCTCCACGTATCCTGTCACACTTCCTGTTAATTCTCCTGCTAGCCTGTGTACAGCTTATAACCAATCAATCAATAAACCAGTTTCCACTGATTAAGCACACCTCTTAGGCCCTGTGCTGGGCTCTACACATCCATCATCTTCTCAGTCCTCCCAACAGCCCAGTGAAGTAGGGGGCCTTATTTCCATTTTGCTGAGGCTCCGAGAGGTTAAGAAACTTGTCTGCGGTCACACAGCTACAAAGTGTTAGAATTCTAACCCGGGTCTAGCTGACCCCAATCCCACATCTCTTTCCATTATTTGCCCCTCAGTACCCACAGGCCGTGTTTGGGGTTTGTTTATTGGTTTGTTTTTCCTTTTTTTTTTTTTTTCTCCACACAAAGCATTTTTACTAACTTTTTTCTTTTGTTTTTCGTAAATAGATCCCCAGAGGCCCATTTATCATGCCATTACTGAAGTATTAGCTGAAGGGCCCCTCACTTGCTTGGGTCCTTTCCGAAGCCATGGAAGGCTCCCTGAGCAATTCTCTGTTTCTGGTTTTGTGGGATTTTTTTTCTTAAATGGGAATCCCCACAAAACTAGGATTCACCCTTATCTACCCTCATACAAACTCCCCAATTTTGTTCTCTCACAGAGACCCTTAAAACACGACCTGCCTCTTTCCCACAGACTGGGCCCCTTGTCACGCACACCGTGTCCGCATGGTCCTGGTGGAGCGTGTGTCGACATTCACACACTGTCCTTGCTCAGGCCGCCGTGAGAGCTGTGGTCCACCTTTCCCTCCTCTCTGGGCCCCTGTCCTCCCCTTGGGGGTGGGCTTTGATTTGGGGGGACCGCTCAAAATGTATTCAGATGCCAGTCTGATGAACAAAGTGAACCTTACAAATACTGTCTTTAATTTAAGTCACTGGTTTCTGTGGAGCTGGGCCTTTGAGTCCCACATCCTGGTTCCCCCACTGGCTGGGGGCTTCCCAAACCTGTGAAAGGAGACCAGCCCCTGCCCTCCAAGAGACATTGTGCTTGGGGTAGATGGTAGCTCGGTGTTCTCCTTCCCCTTTCCAGAGGGGAGTTCTAGGAAGGTTTAGCAATAGGGACAGCCTCCTGGGAACCCATATGTTGTCTCCTAAGGGATTGCTTTACAAGATAACACAATAGGACCTGCTGCTTTTTAATTAGTTGCATTTTCACATATAGACTTTGTGCCCTAAGCATTTATTAGGCACCTCTGGGCACAGAGCACTGTAGGACCATAAAGTGGTTTGCACAGGTGGGGAGGCAGTGGCTTGTATGGAGGCTTGAACACCAGAATCAGGTGACCTTTAGGTCAGGGTCTGCCCCGCTGGACAGGGAGCTGGTGCTGGAGAGGGGAGGCCAGGAGGGAGGGTAGTGATGGGGCCTGGCTGGGTAGTATAGGGAACGACGATGGGCCCTGGCCCCTGACCGGTGGAGAGGCAAGTGAGAGAGCAGGGTATGAGCCCCACTGTCACAATCAGGGACATGCCCTTCCTACACACACAGGGGACATCGGCATCTCACTACTTCTCACTCACTGGCTCAGGTTGCTCTTTCTTGCCCAGATGTTGGCGGCAGCTCTGAACGGCAGAAAGAGCCCAGCCCTGCACTCTGGCCCTGGCTCTGCTGCCATCCTGCTGTGTCACTGTCCCCTCCAAGTGTCTGTTTTCCCCTCTGTGCCGTGAAGGACCAGGAGCCTGCCCTTCTCGCTGAGCTATTCAGCTTGACAGGTGTGCCTCCGCTCTCCTGGACTGGCGTTTCCTTCTGCACCGAGCGGGCATTTCGTTGACCCCAGCAGAGGACAGGGTGCCCACAGCCCTGTCTGCTTTGTTGAGGCCAGCACGAGGGGTCAGACTTAGCGTACCTGGCACTGGCCGGGGTCCTGCGTGTTTTGCAGGAAGGAGCAGGAGAAGGGTGGAGGCTGCCTAACCAGGGGGACCTGAGGTGGACTCTCGGGGCCGCCTGGGGCCTGCATTTGCAGGTTTGTTGTGTCGAGGCATCGTCGTTCCCAGGGAACTGGTTTGTTGGGAGGAGGACAGCCGGCCAGAGCTGGAGCTGGAGCTGGCCTGCTCTTTCTCAGCATCCGCAGCTGGGGAAGCCTGGCTATGGCCCTGGAGCAAACACAAGGCCTTGCTCCAACCCTTCCATCAGAAATGGAGGCCCAACCTGGTGTTGGTTTAGGGAGGAAAGACTGCTGTCCCCTTATCCCAGTCTGCCAGGTGACATCTGAGGTCTGAGCTAGAGAACTCCATCCTGGGCGTAGTCTATGGCCTTTGGCTCGGGCTCCTGGGGCCTCCATGAGTCTGAGCCCCTGGGCTCACCCGGACTTCGTACCCCTCTCCTTTTCCTGCTAGGTCGACACTACCCCTAAAGCAAGAAGAGTATGAGGTGAGTGTCAGCTTCCAGGCTGGGGGAAGGCAAAGGTGAAGGGCAAGGGTGTCCCAGGTAGGGGGTAGGTGGCGGCGAGAGAGGCCAGGTGCCAGGCCTCCACCCCTGAGCCCCGTCTGCACCCTGCCCCCCGGCAGGCCTTTCTGCTCAAGCTGGTGCAGAACCTGTTTGCTGAGGGCAATGACCTGTTCCGAGAGAAGGACTATAAGCAGGCCCTGGTGCAGTACATGGAGGGGCTGAACGTGGCAGACTACGCCGCCTCCGACCAGGTGGCCCTACCCCAGGAGCTCCTGTGCAAGCTGCACGTCAACAGGGCCGCCTGCTACTTCACCATGGTGAGCGCGCCACCCTCCCTCCCTCTCCTCTGCGCCCCCCCCCCCCCCCCCCCCCCCCCCCCCCCCCCCCCCCCCCCCCCCCGCCCCGGGCCCTGCCCACTGCTTCCCCCAGATGCCCCGCCGAGCCAGGCCAGTACCCCAGTGAGCTTCTGCAGGGCTGGCTCCCCCACGTCCTCCCCTGTGAGTCTCCCCAGCTACCCCCAACCCCAGCTGCACCGAACACTCGCCCGCAGAGCCTTCAAAGTGCTCGTACAAGAGACAAAAAACGGTTTGTAATGTTACTGAGCCCCACCCTGGAGGAATTAAGTTAGGCTGTCAGGGTGGCCGGGGCCTTGGTAGGAGGAGGCCGGGCAGTCAGGGCTGAGAACCACTCCCCTCATGGTGGGCTGGGCTGCCTCTTTCTGCAAAGGCCTGGCTTCTCCTGCTCCTCCCTCCTATCTCCCCTGCCCCCTGAAAGCTCTGGCCTCCACCTCTTCCATGTCTGGCTTGCTCCCTGACTCAGTCTCTCACCGGATCCTTGGGGAGGCTCTGCTGGGAGCCCTGGAGAGGCCCCAGTAAGCTCCGCAGGCCGGAGTGGACCGTCCCAGAGAAACAGGTCTACCAGATGCCTGTTCACACCCTCTCCTGTACCCTGAGCTGCCTTTGTGCTTCCCCTTCCTCTCAGAGGAGCCTTATTACTCTTGGTCTGTGGAGCCCTGAGCCGCAGGCAGGTATGGAAGTAGATATGTCCAGAACACCACGCTCAACACTGAACAATTTGAAGGCCCATCCATTCCCGTGGCCTACCAGTGCCCATGGGAGGCCCCTTCAGCTGGACCTACGGATGCTCTTGACCAGAGTATGAAGGCCAGAGCTGTTTCCTGGAGCCCTGGAGCCCCCCACCCTAACCCCGGTCCTCCAGCAGCCTCCATCTCTGGAGGGAGAGGGGCAGGAGGCCCGGGGGAGGGAGGGGGGGAAAAAACAGGCGCCAACCACTGAGCCGCCCGCCCCTCTCCACAGGGCCTGTATGAGAAGGCGCTGGAGGACAGCGAGAAAGCGCTGGGCCTGGATGGTGAGAACATCCGGGCACTGTTTCGCAAGGCCCGTGCCCTCAGCGAGCTGGGGCGCCACAAGGAGGCGTATGAGTGCAGCAGCCGGTGTTCCCTCGCCCGGCCCCACGTGAGTGCCCTGGCCGGGGCTTCTGAGCCTGCTTCCTCCCCTGGGGCAGGGGATGGACCCAAACACGCGGATACGGACTGTGAGCTCTAGTTGTGTTTTCTCAGGCACTGCCGAAAACACACCGTATGTATTAGCTCACCTAATCCTTGCATCAGCCCTTTGAGGTAGATAGTATTATTGTCCCCATTTTAAAGATGAGGAAAGAGGCATAGAGAGACAGGAACTTACCGAGATCACAGCTGGGGGTGGCAGAGGCCACCCTTGAACCCAGGCAATCTGATTCTAGAAGTTCGTATCTTTTTTGTTGTTGTTGTTAAGATTTTATTTATTTATTTGACAGACAGAGATCACAAGTAGACAGAGAGGCAGGCAGAGAGAGAGCGGGAAGCAGGCTCTCCGCTGAGCAGAGAGCCCTATGTGGGGCTCGATCCCAGGACCCTGAGATCATGACCTGAGCTGAAGGCAGAGGTTTAACCCACTGAGCCACCCAGGTGCCCCCTAGAAGTTGGCATCTTAACCTCTGTACTATGATGGTACAGGGTTGCAGTAGGGACTAAAAGAGGCACCACATGTGCTGGGATCCTGATATCAGGCTGTCCCTCCATGGGGGAGAGACCAGGGATGGACTAGTAGTGAGCCTCGCTTGGCCTGGCCCACACACACAGCTGGGCACGGGTCTCTCCCCCTTTATTCATCCACTTAACAAGTATTTACTAAGCACCCATGAAGTGCCCGGATCTGTGCCCTTCAGGGACCCACAGTCCACTGGGAGGCATGGAAACAGCCCTGGGGTCTGGGCCTGACTCCACCACTGAACCCCAGTGTGACCTTGGACAAAACACTTCTATCCTGCACATTAGCTGCGTGTCTATAAAGGGCCCCTCCTACTTTATCCTGGAAATAATAGGCATGAAAAGGTTCAGTTCTGCCCAGCAGTGATCAGGATCTTGGAGGCCTCCCTCCCTGGAGGAAGGTGGGCTTGAGTGGGGCCAGAAGAAGCAAGAAGGGTCTGGGCGGTCAGAACAGGGGGGAGGCCATGTGTGCAGTGGCCCAGGATGTTGGTGTCAGAGAGCTGGGTTTAGGATTGTAATCCTGAGTGTCAGCCATCTACTAGCTGTGTCACCTTGGCCACACACAGCTTAGTCTCTCTGAGCCTTGGTTTGTACCCACTGTCAAACGGGGGTGACAATACGCCATGCACAATTGGGCTTTGAGAATGGAATCCGAAAATCATACAAGGCAGTTGGCTCAATGGCCAGGCACAGTGAGTCCAGAAAACATTCACTCTTCCAATACTTTTTGTTTATTACTCATGCTTCTTCAGTTCAAAGTTTTTATTTATTTCTTTGTCAGGGAGAGTTAGTGAGCAATCACAAGCAGGGGGAGCAGCAGGCAGAGGGACAAGCAGGCTCCCCACGGAGCAAGGAGCCGATGCGGGACTTGATCCCAGGACCCTGGGATCATGACCTGAGCTGAAGGCAGATGTTTAACCCACTGAGCCACCCAGGCGCCCCTCTAATTCAGTTAAGTTTACAATTAAGATCCTTTCTAACGACAGTAGTCCCTGAGCCGTACAGCATTTTCTAGCTGGTCCACATCCGAGTCTCGTGTCTACTGTGCACGGACAGGCAGGGGGGCGTTTACCCTACTGCATGGTGAGGCTGCTGGGGCCCCGCGAGGCTGCTCACTTGCCTGAGGAAAGTTCCCAGATGTGGACTTCTGATTGAATTGGGGGACTCCCCCATTTTCCAGTCTTTGTTGGCAAATGCTGGCTAAGCTGTGCTCTGTGCTGGGTGCTGGGGACCAGAGATGACTACGACTCTGGCTCTGGGCTCCAGGAGCTCATCAGGTAGGGAGATGGACAAAGGCACAGGTTGTTACAACATCCTTGTTGCCCCTTTGGTGCCTGGACCGTAGTTACCATTCCTTTGTTTGTGATTGGTGTCCCCCACCGGACTGAGCCTCCATAAGGCCCGGGCTGTCTTTCCTGTGACAGTGGTGTCCCTGACTCCTCGCCCCTGCCTGCCACATAAGGCGCACGCAGTAATACAGCCTTGGAGGGGGAAGGGATGTTGGGTGCTGTTACTGAGCACTAACCGTGGGCCCGCCATGTTCCAGACTTCCCACATTCTCGCTCCTATGGGCCTGGGCACCACCCACATGTCCTCTCTTGCGAAGAGTTCTAAGACATTGCGTGGTGAAAGAAGCCAGTTGTAGAACAATAGGTACAATATGATCTCACTTATGTTAAAAAAAATTTTAAAAAAGGGAGAAAATCCTCACAAAGCAAAACCGAGCATCCTTTCTAGGTCCATAGGGACATATGTAAATTCCCAGAAAAGATCTGTAGGGAAACAGATCAGAGCACGAGGCACGCTCCCTCTGGGGAGGAGCCTGGGGTGGGGGTCGGGATGGGGGTGATCCTGGGGGGCACTTGCTCTCTCTGCAGCATATCAGCCCTCTACAGTAACACTACTGCTTGCTGAGTTTTAGAAATAAAAAAGATCATCTTGAATTCCAAAATAAAAATTATTCCTTTCCCCTCCCCACGGTAAAAGGACAAAGGGAAGACTGAGTTCTGGGTCAGCCCCATTATGTACAAGCTCTGTGACCTGGGCAGCCAGTGACCCCTCCTGGGGCCTCACCCCCTTGTCAGTAACATGGGGTAACAGTGGATATCCCTCCCCGCCCCACCCCCCGCCCTACACACATGCCCCGCCATTGCCCGGGAGGGCTGCACAGGGTCTCCGGAGAGACTAACCCGCTGCACCCTGTGTCTTATCCCTCCAGGATGAAAGTGTAACTCAGCTTGGTCAGGAGCTGGCTCAGAAGCTTGGGCTTCGAGTTCGGAAAGCATATAAGAGGCCCCAGGTAAGGTGGGCTCTGGGCACTGAGGGTGGGCGAGGGTGGAGATGGGGGATCTGAAGGAGGACCAGGCACCTTTGGGCAGAAGTGGGTGAGAGCGGCCAGGGCCGGCCCAGAACAGAAGGGATTGATAACAGGTGATCTTCTCTCTCTCTTGGCTGAAAGCCCTGGACCGACGTCCAGAACCTTTTGGGAAAGGAAAGAACAGCCAAAGCGTGCAGTTCGCCTTAGACGCCAGCTGCTAAAACCTGTTCCCTCCCTTGCCCTGGCTGATTTAAACACCCAGAGACAGCCTGAGTTGACACTGATGTCCTTCGGCCCTGTGTTCTCGAATAACCTCTTTAGGATGCGTCCTGGAGAAATGGGCATCCGTGTGGCTCTTTGAGATCCACGTTTATTCACTTGGCACCTCTTTTATGTCGGAAAGCCGCATGGGGGAGAGGGAATGGCTCTAGAGTCATTTGTGACCTTGAGCAACTTAGTTCTCTCTCCCCTGGGGTTTCCACATCTGGAACATTAGGACCCTTATGCCTGCCTCAGGGGGTTCGTGGGAGGATCACAAGGAAAGAATGTTTGAGGTAGTGCCTGCCACACAGTAGGAGCACGTATGTGGAAGTCCTCTGCCCTGGTCCCAGTTACAGGAAGAAAATGCCCGCATCTGACCCCGAGACAGGGCAGGTAACTTCGGGCCGGCCTAGAGGCAGGGAGCCTTAGGGTGGGAGCCTGTAGGGGCCTATAGAACCCCAGCAGCCCGTGTTGGGGCCCCTCTGCTCCCCCGGCTGATGGGACCCAGAGCATCTTTACAGTCTTCATCTCTCCCTACTTCTCTAATCTCTGCAGGAACTGGAAACATTTTCTCTGCTCAGTAATGGCACTGCGGCTGGCGTGGCAGATCAGGTAAGATGGGGGGCAGGAGCCCCAGCCCCCTCCCTGCCTCCAGTGCCAACCTGTCACGAGAGCTTTGGATTCACTCTCTGGGGCATAACGACCCCAGCAGTGGGTTCAGAGCCATCGCACTGAAGGGCTGGGCTCAATCTGTCCTAGTCTAGGACAGTCTGTGAGCCAGACACCAGCCCTAGGAAGAGGGGGTGACTGACCGCCTTGACCTAGGCCAGACTCACGGATAGCTCTAGGGATTCAGAGCACACCTCCTAAGAGGGGCCTCCTGGGACCACAGGGCCAAAGTGTGGGGACAGGCTGTGACAGCTGTTGGCGGGCAGGTGGCCTAGTCGCAATGACCTTTTGGCTTCGTCACCCTTCCTGCCGCCGTTGCTTTCCTCCCCAGTGGCCTTTCTGCATCTCAGCCTCTAGGTCTCTAATGTCCTCCCTCTGCCTACTTTCTTTGCCTTTCCGTTTCCAGGACCCAGCTACAGCACGCACCCCCACTGAGGCCCTTCCTGGTACCCCCGCCCAGGTGGCTGCTGGGGAGATGCACAGAAATTGGGGGCAGAGCTCAGACCTGGGGTCCCATGGGGATGAGCCCAGCCTGCTGCTGTGAGAGCTGTTCTTTTTTTTTTTTTTTTAAGATTTTATTTATTTGACAGACAGAGATCACAAGTAGGCAGAGAGGCAGGCAGAGAGAGAGGGGGAAGCAGGCTCCCCGCCAAGCAGAGAGCCTGATGCGGGGCTCGATCCTAGGACCCTGAGATTGTGACCCGAGCTGAAGGCAGAGGCCTTAACCCACTGAGCCACTCAGGCGCCCCATGAGAGCTGTTCTTGAGCAGAACCTTTACCTCTGAGCCTCGGATTTCGAACCTGTGAAATGAGGGTGTTCTGTCCCTCAGCTGGAACAAGGGAGCAGACCCTGTGAAGTGTGGCACCCGTGGGAGCCACGAGGAGCAGTCAGCATTATCCTAGCTTTTGGATGTCCCCACTCCCAGGGCCAAGACGCTCGTGCAAACCTGGCTCATCCTGGGGGCGGGGCAGGACCCGGCACACACACACACACACACACACACACACACACACACACACTGGACACGCCCATTGCTCACTGCGCATGCTCAGGTGGACTTTGAGGCTTTCTGGAAGACAAGGGACAGGCCCTTGGAACACTGATGGAGGCTGGGGTCCTGCCTCTTTGTTGTATGTAAGGGGAGACTGAGGTACAGAGCAAGGAGGGGACTTGGCAAACATTGCACAGCAAGGCAGCTGCAGGCCTGTCTGCCTTCCGGGTGTTATGAGGCTTTCATTCCTTCACTCAGCAAACTCCCAGGGAACCCTTTCTTGGCCCTGGGCTGGGTACTGGGGCATAGCTGAGTCAGGCAGGCACATCCTTGAACTTGGGGACTTCTGGGTGCCCAGGGAGGCAGATATGGCTCTGTCTGTGTAGCATTGCTCATGGATTATAACCAGAAATTTGGAGGCCTGGCATATGTTGGATGCTGAAAAACAAACACAAACAAAAAACACATTTGGTCTAACCAACTGCCATGGACTGGGCGACTTATAAACAACTCATTTCTCACAGTTCTCGAGACTGGGAAGTCCAAGGTCAAGGTGCTGGCAAATTCGGTATCTGGCAAGGACCCACGCATCCTGGTTCACAGATGGCACCTTCTAGCTATAACCTCACATTGCGGAAGCGGTGAGGGAGCTCCCTGGGGTCTCTTTTGTAAGGGCACTAATCCTGTTCAAGGGTGCTTCACCCTCATGACCTAATCACCTCCCAAAGGCCCCACTCTTAATACTATCCCCTTAGGGGGTAGGATTTCAACATATGAATTTGATGTATGTTGAACATCTGGCAAATATTCAGACCATAGCAGTGAATGAGTGACTGAAGAATTGTAAATAATTTCACAATGCCTTAAAAGGGTACTACTTACCCCTATTACAATGAAGAAACCAAGGCCCAACGAGTTAGAGGACTTGTGTGAGTCCACTGAGCCTAGGGCTAGACACGGTAAGCAAAACATTTGTGGTTCCTGCCTTCAAAGCACTCAAGTCCAGGGTAAATGGATACTAGTGTGATAATTTCTGGTTACAAACCATCATGAGAGCTGTAAAGGCAAAGTGTGGGTACCCACGGGCCACTGGAATAAGGAGGCCTGATTTAGATTGGGCATCAGTGATCTTTCAAATGAGACCTGAAGGTTGAGGAGTAGGCAGGGGCACGGTGTGCTGGTAAAGCTGCATTTCAGACAGGGGAGGGATGTGCAAAGGCCCTGAGGCTAGGAGGAGCCAAGAGAGTGGGAGGGACCAAGTGGAAGGGAGGCAGGGCCCTAGTGGGGCTAGAACAGTAGATCATAGAACTCACAGCGCAACTGGAGGAGACAACAAACAAAAAGTGATCAGTGCCGTGGAGATGGTTGGCTGGGGAATGCTGGGGCGTTGGGAGGGGTTGCAGTTTTAAACAGTGAGCAAGGAAGGCCTCAATGAGAAGGAGACACTGGAGCAAAGACCTGCAGATGAGGGATGTGCCTTGAGGAGGTCTGGGGGAGGAGGCAGGGGGAATGGTGAGTGCAAAGGCCCTGAGGCAGGCATGTGCCCAGTGCGTGGGGACAATAGCCAGGAGGCCATGGTAGCTAGAGGCTGGGATGCAGAGCTCCTCTTTCCTCTCACCAGAGGTGATAGGGATGCAGGAAGTCATTTCAGGATGATCTTATTCAGAGTTCCTAGATATCAAGGGCTCCTGCCTTATTCCTGGAGCTGAAGAAATGGGGGCTCCCTTTTGTTGTTTTCTGCTGATAGTGTTATAACAGCACCTTATAGGACTGTGCTGGGGTGACCCTGGTTGGGTATGTGGTGGGATGTTCCTGCTTCTTTCCCTTCCCACAGTGACTGCCCTGGTTAAAGCCGCATGCCACTAGGGCTAGCCTCCCCTTCCTGTACCCTCAAGATGAACTCTGACAGACAGGCCTCTAGGTCTCTCCCTAGTATAGGGACCTTCCATGGTTATTAATAAAAGTGTCTGTTTAAAAGTAATCAACTCCGGATCCTCTTGCCTGGCATTCAGGCTCCCCAGCAGTCGAGTTCCGACATCCCTCTCCGGCCTCGCCTCCTACTCACGCACCAGGCAGGGTGTGTGTGTGCATTTCTGCGGGGCTCTGCAACAGGCTCCTCAGAGAGCAGGACGGTGGGTTCCTCCGTGCTGTGCCTCCGCTCAGCACCCCTTTGGAGGCAGACAGGTCAGGTCTCTGTAAACTGGTGGCATAACCTAAAGGAAATGATTTGTCTTGGAGCTTTGGGTTCCTCCTGTGAAACAGGTGATCGTGCTCAATTCCCGGGGTGCTTGTGTGGACGACCTGAAGGCAGGCAGGGGAGCCAGCAGCCAGTTACCTGCTATGTGGGTGTCCCTAGCAGGGAAAGGCAGGGACGGATGAGCCTAGCAAGACGGGCTAGAGCTGGGTGGTGGACAGGGAGCCCGGGGAGCCCTAAACACCCTGGGCAGGGAGACGCATGGCTTTCCCTAGCATCATTCATCTCCTTCCGGCCTCATGTGAGAGCAGCAGCTCTGACCCGTCACGGCAGCAAACACACCAGAGACACTGAACTGCCCATCTTTGCCAAGCCAGGGCCAGGCTCCAGGGCGTGAGGAGTGTTCTATGGGGGTGGGGGTTGGGAGTGCACAGGGCTAGGTCTGGGGTCGGGGCTGACTCCCGAGTCCCAAGTCAGACAAGCCCCTCTCTGGCCCGGGAGTGGCAGCTTCCCCAGGCCCCCGGACTGACCTTTCCTTGCACTTGGGGGGTGGGGGAGGACAACACTGCAGGGCACCTGGACCAAGGGTTGAGCTCACTGGGCAGTGAGGTGCTGGCCCAGCCTGGCAGGAGGCAGGACCCCAAATCCGTCTTGCTGCTGTCAGCCCTGCTGCGGGTTCATGGGACAGAATGGCGAGCAGGGAGGCTCCGGTCCTCCTTCTGCCCTCAGAGGGCACACAGAGGACATGGGGTCACCCGGGGGCCTGCCAGGGAAGGAAGACTGCAGCGGGACTGTGCAGGACTCAGAGAAGGGGAGGATGTGCCAGGATTGAGGAATGACTCAGGCCACAGCCAGAGGGGGACACGAGGCAGGGGAGATGCAGCACGCGAGTCCATCCAGGCCAACATCTTGACAGGCAAAAAGCACTTCCTAAGTTCTATGCAAATGTCAAGTGATTTCAAACTCATAACAGTTCTAGAAGGTGGATGACTGTACGTACCATCCTTAATCTACGGGTAAGGGAGCAGGCCCAGGGAGGGTGAGGAACTTGGCCAGGCCCCAGAGCAAACTGCAGCCCAGCTTTCCCTCCAACAGCAGGTGCACGGGGGGCAGTGGGATCCTACCTGGACTCCTTCAGCCTGGAGCTATGATTGGGTCAGGGGACACTGGTGATTCCGGGTTTGGCACTTTTATCTTTGAGCCGCAGGCTATCCATGCAGGGCACAGCTGGGTAAAGACCAACCACCATCCCCAGGGTATGGACCCTATCCTGTGATGGGCAAGGAAACTGAGGCTCAGAGGTTATAGCTCTTTCCTCTCAGGGTACCCCTCCAGCAAGGGGCACGTGTGAGGCTTGTCTAACCCCGCTCCCCCTGCCTCCTGGCTCCTGCCCGTCTGGCCCTGGGTTTCATTCCAGCAATAGCCACAAGGTGGGGGTGAGGCAGGCGCCGTGGCCTTCCCGGCCCATGTCTGCCTGACCTTCTGTGTCCTTTCTCTCCACAGGGAACTTCCAATGGATTGGGCTCCATAGATGACATCGAAACAGGTAGTGTCCCTGATCTGAGGGCACAGGGCAGGGACGGGTCCCCAGGGAGGGCTCAGCCCTTAGCTGAGGGGTCCCTGCCCTAGCGACCCCCTGAAGCATGAAAGGAAGTAGCGGGTCTAGGAAACCACACTCCCTCTCAGGGAGGAGAGGGCAGGGGGTCGGCCACATAGTAGGGCAGCACTGATCTCCTGTCCCCCGCCCCAAGCCAGCTCCTCCCCCAACTGGGAGTCCCCTTCTCTTCCTCACTGGCTTCCAAGAAGAGTGACAAGTGTCCCTTAGAGAGGGCGTGACTTCTCCCTAGGTAGGATAGTCAGGCCCTGAGCCAGGTCCATTCGAGAGATAGCACAGGACCAAAGGACCCTGTCCTGGTCTATGGTGCCCTTCCTTCTGGTGACTGAGCCTCCAGCCCCCGAGTCAGGCCAGCGCAGGCAGGGCTCCTGACTGGAGGTCAGAAAGGAGGGAAGGTGCTGTGTGAGGACTCTAGGGCCCCAGAGCACCTCCCCCTACCGCCAAGCAGGAACCCCTATGGCTACTGATCCTACCCTCCCATCCACAGACTGCTACGTGGACCTGCGAGGCTCCCCGGCCCCCCTACCCTCTACCCCCACGATGCCCCTGTTCCCTCATGTTCTGGACCTGCTGGCCCCCCTGGACAGCAGCAGCAGGGCCCTCCCTGGCGCTGAGAGCCTGGACGACTTTTCCGACGGGGATGTCTTTGGGCCGGAGCTGGACACCCTCCTGGACTCACTGGTGAGCCGAGTCGCCGCCCTTCTGCTCCCCGGAGCCCCTCCCCCAGCCCGGACCCCAGCATATTCATCCTCCTGTCCCACAAGCGGGGGGGGGGTCCCATCTCCATGTCACAGTTGGAGAAACTGAGGCCTGAGGAGGGAAAGGGACCTGCTTGGGATACAAACATGAAGCTCTATAGAACGCACAACCATGGGGCGCCTGGGGGGCTCAGATGGTTAAGCGTCTGCCCTTAGCTTAGGTCACGATCTCCAGGTCCTGGGATCGAGCCCCGCATCAGGCTCCTGGCTCAGTGGGGAGCTTGCTTCTCTCTCTCCCCCTCTGCCTCTCCCCCTGCTTGTGCTCTCTCTCTCTCTCTCGAGTGAATAAATAAAATCTTTAAAAAAAAAAAAAAAAAGACTGCACAACCAGAGGGACCGTGAAGATCCCTGGCTCCACTCGTGGGATGGGTTGGGGCTGAGGCACAGAGGGTTAGCTTGCCTGCCTGGGGCCTGGGGAGCCTGCCTCTGCCCAGGCCAGGGTGGTCAAGTTCTCTTCCAACTCCTCCTTCTGTTCCTCACCTCACAGTCCCTGGTCCAGGGTGGCCTGCCTGGCAGCGGCGTGCCCAGCGAGTTGCCCCAGCTGATACCTGTGTTCCCCGGTGGGACCCCACTGCTGCCACCTGTAGTGGGTGGCTCCATCCCCGTCTCCAGCCCCCTGCCCCCGGCCTCCTTCGGCCTCGTCATGGACCCCTCCAAGAAGCTGGCTGCCTCTGTGCTGGACGCCCTCGACCCCCCAGGCTCGGGACTGGACTCCCTCGACCTGCTGCCGTACTCGGATACACGCTTGGATGCCCTCGACAGCTTTGGCTCGACCCGTGGTGCCCTGGACAAGCCCAACTCCTTTGTGGGTGAGGCCTGGGTGGGCACGGGCACCCCCACCCCCTTGGCAATTTTCAGAATACCACGGCATCTCCAGTCTCTGGGGGGCGGAGCTGGGATCACCACTCAGTTCAGCCGAGGTCCAGGCCCTCTGTCCCCATCATGGTTCAGGGCCACCGCCTCTGAGTTGCCTTGTCTCCTGCAGTGTTCAGCCCAGTGTGGGGCTGAGGCCAGAGGGGCTGGGTGTCTTGTTCAACACCAGACAGTGGAACTGTGCTAGGCCAGGACTCTGAACTTGCAGTATAGTGCTCTCTGGCCAGCCTTCTGGGGCCCTGGGGTCGCCGGGCTGGTAGGATCCCACAGGGATGATCCTGAGGCTGGGGGAAGGGCTGCCAGGCCACAGGCTCCTTCAGCACCACTCTGAGCGGGGCGCCAGGGGCCCAGAGAGGAAGCAGAGCTGTCAGGGCCCTCGCAGGACCAGCTTTCAGACGCTTGGACCTGGCCCAGGCCACTCGTGGCTCAGGGGGATTCACGAGGCCACAGGAGCCAAAGGGAGACTTCCTGAAGTTGCTGATGGCTGAGGGAGGTCTTAAAGGAGAAAGTCCTTGCTGTCAGGGGGAGCAGGTGACACAGGCTTGCATGACTGAGGGACTGGCCGATGAGGAGGGTCGTCAGCAAGAGGGGAGGGTGGGTTGGGGGCCTTGAAGAGCTGAAGCTGGTGTCAGAGGACCTTTGAGCCACACTGAGAGCTTGGGCTTCTTCTGGGGGCAGTGGGGGCCACGGCAGGTGTAAGACAGGCTGCTCGTGCTCAGGCCGGGACACTGCTCTGTCCTTGGGCAGTGGCCTTGAGGGTAGGGTCAGGAGATCAGCACAAACGGTAGAGGCTGTGTCTGGGTGGTTTCGACAACTTAGAAATGCCTATGAGAAAGTCCTCAGAGAACTTCTCATCCCTTCGGGGCAGGGCGGGTGACCCCTGTGTCTTCTTGCCCAGAGGAAACCAACTCACAGGACCATCGTCCCCCAAGTGGTACGCAGAAACCAGCCCCCTCGGTGAGTGCTTGGCGCAGATCTGTGACCAGGTACCCTGTGCCCTCTTGGGTGGAAGGGAAGTGGGTGTGGGCTCCAGAGTGGAGGTGAGCCTTCCGCATGGGATGGGGTCCTGCACGCCCCAAGGAGAGGCACCCTCAGAATGGCCTCTGCCTAGCCCTTCCAAACTGAGCTACATGCTGGGAGAGGGAGCTGAGGGCACGGCCCAACCCTTGTCTGACAGAAGAGGACATTGAGGCTCAGGGCTTAAGTAACTTCTCCAGGGTTAGTAACATCCCTGTGCTCAGGACTCATCTCATTCTGTTTAGGAGAGCCCTTGGGCAGGTAGCAGGCAGCCTGCCCTCTGCACTCTGGCCTCAGCCTAGACACTAGCTGCGTGGCCCTGGGGAAGTAACCTAACCTCTCTGGGTCTTGCCTTTTTCCCCATCTGCTGCTACCCTGGGGCTTGGGAAGTAGAGGCTGGGAGTGGGGAGGGGATGTGCATAGGCCCCGGCTGGGGCCATTCCTGTTTCTCTGCTTTCATGTTAGGCTTTTGCTCAAGGGAAGGTTCTGGGCCAAGATTAGTGTCACCCATGCACCCCCTCAAGGCAAGTTCTATTCCAGTGTTACAGATTCTTGGATCACGTTATAAGGAATTTCCTTATATAAATAATTCCCTGGCTGGTAGGGTAGGAGAAAGGGGTGGGTCCTGGGCTACAGTTCTGCTCTTGGGTAGGATGGGGGGGTCATAGAGCCCCCCCAACCTCTGGTGCCCAGGCTGGCTTCAGTGGCTCCAGCCAGGGTCCGGTGCCCAAGACGGCCAACCTCCTCCTGTCACAGCCCGAGCCCTCCATGCCCAACACCGCCTTGCTCATCAAGAACCCCTTGGCTGCCACCCATGAGTTCAAGCAGGCCTGCCAGCTCTGCTACCCCAAAACAGGTAATGTGACGCCTTCATATTCCTCTACCCCTCCGCCCAGAGACACTGGGAATCCGGAATAGCCTCCTGGGGTGACAGAGCCCTGGTGTACCAGTCAGAGGAAAATGTGGGAAAACAGGAGCCCCTCTGTGTATTTTGAGAGGGTGGGGAATTGGGGGAAGGTGTAGAACATGGGGTTCTGGGGCTTTCAAAATTGCCACAAAGGCTAGAGGAGCAGAAGCTAGGAGTCTCCTCAGCCTCTGAGCTGCTCCTTCACAAGAGCTGAGTTGTGCCGCTCTCACATGGGAGTCAGGGGCTGCTGATCACAGCCTCCCACAGCCCAGAGGCTGCCGCACGGCCATGGAGTGGCGTCCAGCTGGCTGCGGCAGGAACACGTTAGCCCACACCTCATGCACCTCCGCTTCACCATCCACTTCTCCCATGAGAGCATCTCCCTGGGTGGATACAAACCTGGCCTGGAACCCTGGAGGCAAAGGAGTCTGGGAAGTGTAGTTCCTAGATTCCCAGCCCCCAGATCCAAGGGAGGTGACAGAAGCCGTTTACAGTAGATGTCCAATGCTGGGAGACAGTTTTCAGCACACCCGGAATCTTAGAATTCTAGTCTGAGACTCATTTGCCAGAATCCCGGACGTTTTAGTGCAATATTATTTTGGGAGGCCAAGTTTAAAAGTCTTAGCAGTCTAGGATTTTCCATCTGAAGGGTATGAGTTGACAGGACCTCGGAGGCTGTCCAGTTTTTGTCCACACACTGCAGGACCTTCCCCTTCACCCCTGGCCACATGCATGTCATCCCTGAGAGTCCTCCCAGCAAAGCGCCCATGGACCTGCAGGGGCGGGGAGCAGGGCGCCATCTTGCTGGATGGCTGCGCCCATGATAAAGTCTTTCTTCACACGGACCTCAGGCTGCCTCCCCAGTCCACACACCCGCGGCCTCTCACGCCCTGTGGACTGCGCAGCTAGTGCTGGCACAGCCAGGTCGCATGGCGTTCCCACGGGGCTATTTCCCCGTTGTCAGTGGGGAGGAGGCCCTGGGTCAGAGACTTGACCGTAGCAGAGCTGGGAGCGTGAATTCGAGCAGCACCCTTCCAGGCAGGATGAGAAAGGGACGGGCCTGCTCTCTGCCAGGTGCTGTCTTCCTCATTCCTTCTAGAGAAATCCTGGAGAGTCTGAGTGGTGATGGAAGGGGGTGGGTGCTAGAAAGGGGTCCTTGGAGGGGCCCCCTGTCTCTAGGGAGCACTTGGTGAGGAAAGGAGGCCCAGCTGACGGAGGTAGGTTTTTAGGCAAGGGTCCAAGTCTCACTGCTTGAGACCATCAGCTGTCACCCTTCAGCCCTCCACCTGAAATCTGTCTCTGTCCATGTGTCCCCGCAGGGCCCAAGGCGGGCGACTACACCTACCGCGAGGGCCTTGAACACAAGTGTAAGCGGGACATCCTGCTTGGCCGGCTCCGGAGCTCCGAGGATCAGACCTGGAAGCGGATCCGGCCCCGGCCCACCAAGACCAGCTTTGTGGGCTCCTACTACCTGTGCAAAGGTGGGTGCGCTGTGGCGGGGGCCTAGCTCCTCTCACACCCAGCCTTGGCTCTGCCCTTCCTCACTGGTAGGCGGAGGAAGACATTCATCGAGGAGTCATCCCACAGCAGAATGAGCATCTAGGCCCTGTCTTGACAGCTCCACAGATTGGGGGAGAACATTTGAGATGTTCCATTCCAGCTAAAGCCCCTACTGAGTGTGAGGGCCAAGCGGTCCGTGGAGAGTCGTTGCTGTCACGGCTGCAGGGTCCCAAAGGACTGTGGGAAGGATGTGGGGAGAAGCCACATAAAGCACATAGGACTGGTACATAGTAGAGTAAACGGATTGATAAATATTAGCTTTTAAATGTTATCGTGTTGCCGTTGTCCCCACTTTTGGCTCACGTCGACATGGCCGGTATTTAATGGACGTTTGTCGGGTACCTTGCTTGCCGGCTTCGATTTCCCAAGCAAGCGTCTTGGAGCAGTCTTCACGGCTCTCTACAAGTAGTCACAACATTGCTGGGCACTTTTAGTGTCACCCTTCTGTACCCACCATCACGCATCCTCACAACTCAGGGCTGGGAAGCTAAAGCTTCAGGAGGCTCCGCCTTTGTCCCTCAACCCAACCGGAGGCAGTAGCCCTAGGCTCTCTGGACCAGCGACCTGTCCTCCCAGCAGGATCTTAAGGACATATCGCTTCTGGGCTTGAAGGCCTCAGTCAACCCTCCCCTGGCCAGTGTAGATGAAGTCCATACTCTCTGAGGCTTACAAGTCCCCCGTCTGTAACCACTCCCCAAACACCCAGAACCTGGACTCCTTTGTACACTTGATCTTGATCTTGAACTTGATCAAGCAGCACCCGGATCTTGGGAAGCCATTCCATACAGGGTCCCCTGCCCCGTGCAGAGCTGGTTTGGGCACAGAGCAGCCAGTGGTGACTGTCTGTCCATTGGCTCCCTTGTCCTTGTGTGCCAGCAGCCTGGCAGAAGGGTGGGGCAGGGCAGACTTAGAGTGTGAGCAGGGGAGAGAAAGAAAAACTGTTTCCGCCACCAGGAGATGGCAGGACTTCGGGTTATGAGCCTACTGCCCTCACAACTCCCTGGTCCCCAGGGGTTTTTTTTTGGTTTGTTTTTTGTTCTTTTTTTGTTTGTTTGTTTGTTTGTTTATTTTAAGATTTATTCGACAGAGAGACAGCCAGAAAGGGAACACAAGCAGGGGGAGTGGCAGAGGGAGAGGGAGAAGCAGGCTTCCTGCCAAGTAGAGAATCTGATGTGGAGCTTGAACCCAGGACCCTGGAATCATGACCTGAGCTGAAGGCAGACGCTTAATGCCTGAGACACCCAGGCGCCCCATGCTTTTTGTTTTAAAGTAGGTTCCACACCCAGCGTGGGGTTTAGACTCCTGGCCCCGAGATCAAGAGTTACATGCTCTACCGATTGAGCCAGCCAGGCACCCTTGGTCCCTAGGGGTTTTATTATTTCACTTAATCTGCACAACAACCCAATGGTCTCTGTTTATGGGACAGACAGCTGAGGAATAACAGGGAATCCCAGCCCAAGTCTGCCAGATTCCAAGGCCCAGGCCCTTAACCAGTGGTATTGTCCTGGTGCATAATGAGAATAAAACCCCGTGTATTTATTTTGAGGCTTGTGTTCATCTGCAAAGCCCTTCATCCTACCTCTAATCCTGCCCAACCCCCAAAAGGCAGCTTTGTGGGGTGGTAGGGTGGGATGATCGCATCCTTGGTGGATGGAAAAGGCAGGCACTGCCCTCAGCATAGGTGTAGAGCAGAGAAGGGACCTGGCCTGGGAAGGGCTTTCCCTGGCTCTGTGGCTTGGCCCCACCCGAGTCCCAAGCAGCAGGCACCCCGCCCCCCAACACGGTGGGGATGAGCCTGAGTCCCGCCTGCTGCAGCAGAGGTCTTGGGGGCTCTGCGGGCTACCGTCCCGCCTGGCAGAACGTGTGTCCTGTTGCCTCTTTGCAGACATGATTAACAAGCAGGACTGTAAGTACGGGGATAACTGCACCTTCGCCTACCATCAGGAGGAGATCGACGTGTGGACAGAGGAGCGGAAGGGCACCCTCAACCGGGACCTTCTCTTTGACCCACTGGGGGGCGTCAAGCGCGGCAGCCTCACCATCGCCAAGCTCCTTAAGGAGCACCAGGGCATCTTCACTTTCCTCTGTGAGGTACCCGTGCCCCTGTCCCACTTGCCTGCCACCCCACAGTCGATGGCATAGATGACACTGGGAGGGGCTCCCTGGAGTGCCCTGTTATCAGATGTCAGTCCTGACACCTGGGGGTTTGGGAGGCCTGACTGGAGAACAGTAGGTCCTTGGACTGCCAGAAAGGCCCATAAGACCCTGTCTTGCTAAAGAAAAGAGAGTCCTGCCCGCTCTTTCCAGATGGCCATCAAGAGGCCAGGGTGGGCACAAGACGCTGTACGAACTTGCCCTCCCCACATCTCCTTGTCCAGCTGTGCAGGCTCTGATGCCCAGCATGTCTCCCTGCCCACTTGCCTGCCTGTATCCAGGCTGTCCCCTCTCCCGGGAGCGCCCTCCCTGTTTTCCCATCTCTTGGGCGCTCTGAGACTCAGCTCTGATCCCAGCATCTCTAGCAAGTTGTCATAAATTCCTTCCCCAGAGCTGCCACAGCAGACCCTGCCGGCCCCCGGCTTCCCTGCCTGATTGGAGCATGATGAGGGCAGTGTCAGGGTCAGATCCCTCTCCACGTGGAGCCAGAGGTCTGGATCCGGGTTGCTGGCAGGGTTGGTGCCGCTCAGCCCAACCTTGACCCAGTGCACAGCCAGCCCTTCCCCCCGCAACTCTCAGAGCAGGTGGACTGGCCGCTCCCTTCAGAGCTCCCAGCCAGCAGCTGCATGTACTTTCCAAAGCATTTGCAGTTCTGTTGTGTCCTTTCTGAGCTTCCCAGTGAACCTGTGGGACAGCAGGCAGGGTCACCCCAGCTTCCAGCTGAGGAAACTCAGGCCCAGAGACCTAGAGTTACACCCTGCCCCAGGCATCTGGAGTGGTGGGACCACAGAGCCACAGCCCAGGTTATCCAGGGGCCAGAGTCGGAGAGGTGGGGGCCACCGAGCCTGAGGTGCCCTTTCTCACTCCCCTGACTTAGAACAGGGCTAGCAGGGACACCTAGTCTGCCCCTCCCGGGGTGGCTGTGCTGGGTCCCAGCCCCTCTCCTCCCCGGGCAGATCTGCTTCGACAGTAAGCCCCGGATCATCAGCAAAGGCACCAAGGACTCCCCGTCGGTCTGCTCCAACCTGGCTGCCAAGCACAGCTTCTACAACAACAAGTGAGTGGGACCCATAGCCTGGGCCTGGGAGCAGGGGCCCACGGAGAGTCAGGGTGGTTCAGATCCCTGGGGAGCAACTGATGGGTGGATCTAGGGTGCCAAGACGAGGTGCAGAATTTAGGGCTCAGAGCCAGCGTCTTACCGTCTCTGTTGTACTGATGGGGCTTGGAAGTAGCTCACTCAGTAGGCACGTGAGAGGCCACTTCTCTGACTCCCGTCCGGTACCCTCCACTCTCATGACATTGGTGGCAGACAATGAGTAGGAGGGCCTGGGTCAGGCCTGGCACCCATCTTTGCTCCCTCTGACTCCCCTCAGCTCCGCCCCCACATGGATGATTAGAGCCCGGGGCCCTGAGTCAGACAAACCTGGGTCCCCTCCCAGCCTGGTCAATGCCTGTTTCATGTCCTGTGGCCCTCGGTTTCCCTGTCTGTGAAGCTGATGATGAAGCCAGTCTTCTAGGGTTGCCGCGAGCATCGTTAAATTCCTGTCCCACAAATCTAATATATTTGACTTGTGTTTTATCTCAACTACCAGACCATTCCTTCTGTAGCTCAGGAGAGCACCCCTTCCCCCCAGAGGCTCAAAATACCCTATCATCTTTGTGTTCTCGCTGCGGTTCTGTGGGTTCCATATTTTCCTTACTCCCCTCCAAGTCTGGCTGGATTGCAGAATTATGGTTTTGTGTGTGTGTGTGTGTGTGTGTGTGTGTGTTTTAAGATTTATTTGAGAGAGAGAGAGAGCATGAGTGGGAAGGGCAAAGGCAGAGGGAGAGAGAGTCTCAAGCAGAGTCCATGCTGGGCGGGAGCCCCACGCTGGGCTGGAGCCCCAGGTGGGGCTCCGGCCCACGACCCCAAGATCACAACCTGCAGAGTTACCTCTATGATTACGAAATACAAACTAAAGAACAACAACAAATAAAATAAAATAAAATTGCTGTCCCAGAGGAGGTTCTAGAATACTGCTTCTTTGGTTCTGGGGCATCAGGCTGGGAACCTGCCCATCTTCTACCCCCCATCCCCCCGCTGGCACTCCCTTCTCCCAGCCTCCTAGCAGGTGAGATCTGTGGCCTCCTGCTGGCAGTGCCGCCTTGGAGCTGGCCCTGGATTGAGGCCAGGAAAGGAACACACCGCCAGGACGGCCTGAGTGTAGGACCCTCACCTCTTGCCTACTGTGCTGTCCTATTCTGGAAGCCTTTTAATAGGGCAGGAAGCCCCTCCCTTTAGGCTTGTGCTGTACCTGGGAGAGCCACCCCGCAGGACTCGAGGGAGAGGGGAGGGGGCTGCAGCCTGCATCATGCCCCTCCCCCCCTGCCCTCTGCCTGCCAGGTGCCTGGTGCACATCGTCCGCTCCACCTCCCTCAAGTACTCCAAGATCCGCCAGTTCCAGGAGCATTTCCAGTTCGACGTGTGCCGCCATGAGGTGCGCTACGGCTGCCTGCGGGAAGACAGCTGCCACTTCGCCCACAGCTTCATCGAGCTCAAAGTCTGGCTGCTGCAGCAGTACTCAGGTGAGGGGGCTGGGCAGGGGCGGCCAGGGGGTAGGGGAGAAGCGAAGAATTGGCCCGAGGGTAGATGGGCCAGCCCTGGGCAGGTGGCAGAGGGAGGTCACAAGGGGCAGTTACTTGGGGGGGGAGGGGGCTCTGCAGGAGCTGTCCCCCCTACCCCCCAGACATCAAAGGACACAAAGGACACAAAGGAAGCAAAGACTCTGCTCTCAGGGAGCCTCCCACGCCAGAAAGGTCTTGGGTTTATCCCTGGCCGGGCACTGCCGGGGGAACACATGTAGAAAGGGAGAGGAGGCAGAGCCCCGTTGCCTGGTTGGTCACCAGCAGGTCACTTCCTCTCGCTGAGTCTCCATTTGTCAAGCCCTGTGAACTGGTGATTGTACCCTCCACCTCGTGGCGCCTGGGCGGCTCAGTGGTTAAGGGTCTGCCTTCAGCTCAGGTCCTTGTTCTCCGGGAAAATCTGTGATCTATAAGTAAGGGCAAGGCAGGCCGTGTAACCAGTAGTATAAATCCCACGTTCCATCTGTTCTAGGACACAGGTTTCCCCCACTGTGTGCTGTAATGTAATTTAGCAGCACTGTTTTGGATGTAACATAAAATAACGGTGCATCTAACAATTGATGTCCTCTTAGAGTTGATGAAACAGGGTTATGTAATTTCAGACGTGATCAGTGCTGAGAGGAAAGTAAAGCCAAGCAAAAGGCTGGGGAGGGGCTCAGGCTGGGGCATTTGGGATAAGATGGTCAGGGAGGGCCTCCTGGGGAGGTGGTGTTTGAGCGACGAAGGGTAGGGCGAGCATGCCGGGCAGAGGGAGGGCAAGGCTGGAGGCCTTGAGGCAGGAGCCAGCTTGGTACAGAAACACTGCGCATGAGAGCGGAGCGGCTTAGTGCCTGGCGGGAAGAGTTTGGTAGGGACCCAAGTGTGTAAAAGTCTCTAGGTCGTGCACAGAGTCAGGATTGTTCTGAATATGCAGGGTCTGGAGGGATTGGGGGGTGGAGGTATATGATGGATCAATATTTTTTAAAAGTCGCTCTGGCTCCTGGTGGAGAATAGAGGGGTGAGGGCGAACAGAGGGGGAGCAGGGAAGGTGTGGCCCAGGCCAGGGCGACAGTGGCGGTGGTGGAAGGAGTGATCCTGTTCTAGGGATATATTGATGGTGGAGCCAGCAGGAGCTGTTGATGGACCAGATATGAAATAGGAGACAAAGGATGGCCTCAAGGTCACCGCAAGGTTTTGAGCAGAGTCACTGGAAGGATGGGGTTGCTATATTCTCAGAAGGGGAGGCTGTAGAAGGACCAGGTTTTGGGTGGGGGGGCCGTGTCCCATCAGGCTCAGTGTGGAACGTAGGGAGTTTGAGCTGCCTCTTGGATTTCAAGCAGAAATGTGGAGCAGGCAGCCGGATGGGGAAGTTTGGAAGTCACAGGTGAGGTCTGGGCTGTATTTGGGAATCCTCAGCAAGAAGATGGGTATCAAGTACGGTGCCTGGCCCAGAGTAAGCCTCCAGTGACCAGCGGTCACCATGGAGCAGTATCCATAAGACAATGTCAAAAGGAAATCAGTCTGAGAAAGGGACTGGAGGAGATGGGAGAGGCTCCAAGCTGTGCCTCAGGCTGGGTTCCACCGTCAGCAGTCGGACTAGGAAGGTCTGGGCCACCAGGTTCGGGTGTCTGGCCCTTTGCTGACCTTAAGCAAAGAGCACTGGCCCCTTATCAAGCTAGTGAACCAGGCTGGGCCAGGCGTGGAGCCCTGAGAACAGTGGGCTAGGGGCTGCCAAGCAGCAGTCAGGCCTGAGACCCTGCTGAGGGAGTGGGGCTGAGTAGCTGGAGAGACCCTGGCATGAGGGCAGGGGAGTCACCGTGCCCTGCCGCTGGCCCAACACCTTTCTCCTGCATTTCCCCACTCTTGGCTGCATGGATTCTCCTGCTCCCTGTGAGGGCTTAGAGCAGGTCCTCCATTCCCCAACTGAACAAACAGGCCCAGAGAGGATGAGTGTTTTCCCTGCTCCCCATGTCTCTCCATGGTGGGGCCTGGCTGGGGAACGGGGCTCCTTGTGCCTGGGCCGGGTGGCACCCTGCCAATCCCCTGCCTCTCTCCTCACTGAGCTCCTTCACGGATTCCCGTGTTTGGTCCCGCCTTCCACAGGCATGACCCACGAAGACATCGTCCAGGAATCCAAGAAGTACTGGCAGCAGATGGAAGCCCATGCCGGGAAGGCCAGCAGTGGCTTGGTGAGGCCCTGGGTTGGCGCTGGGGGTGGGATCCGGTCCCCGGGGGCCATTCTCCATCCCTGTAATGGAACCTCATTTCAGACTTACCCAGAAAATTATCAGAATGGTACAAAGAATTCCTGTGTACCCGTTTCTAGGCTCCCCAGATAGTAACCCATTTTACCACATTCTACATTTGCTTCACCCTACGTGTGTGTGTGTGTATGTGTGTGTATACATCCACACATAAATATTTGTGTACAATTATATACATATCTTCTTCTGAACTGTTTGAGGGTGAGTTATAGACGTGATGCCGTATCACCCCTAAATACTTTGGTGTCTGTTTCATAAAAATAAAGCCACAGTCTTACATAATAACCACAGGACAATGGCATCACAGAACTAACATTGGGATAATTTTTCAGATTATGGTGTCCTGTTAGTTAGATTTTGTGAATCATCCCGAAATCCCAAGTGACACTGCATTCATTAGTTGTATCTGTCTAGTCTCTCTCTCTCTCTCTCTCTCTCTCTCTCTTTTTTTTTTTTTTTTTTGAAGATTTTATTTATTTATTTGAGAAAGAGAGAGACAGAAAGTGCACAAGCGGGGAGGAAGGGCAGAAGGAGAAGGGAGCCAACTGGGGACTCGATCCCAGGATCCTGAGATCATGACCCGAGTCGAAGGCACATGCTTAACCGACTGAGCCACCCAGGCGCCCCCATCTTGTTTCCTTTAATCTAGAGCAGTCCCCCAGCCTTTCTTGTCCTGCATGGCATTGATGGTTTTGAAGAGCAGCTGTCTTGCTCACCCATTTGAGATTGTCTGATGGTTCCTCAAATCCCAGAGCTGGTGTTATGTTCTCAGCTCAGTCCTCAGGAGGCCCGTCACCGCGGTGTGTCCCTTTACTGGTGATTACTTGGTTAGACGCACCTGCCCTGTAGAAGTTTCTCTACTGTGAAGTTACGTTTCCCCCTTCGTAATGCACAAGCGTCTTCTAGGGAGGGTCCCTGACACCCGTGTCAATATCCTGGTATTCCTTCCCACAGGTCGTATCACCTCCCATCCGTCCCTGTCCTCACCCACCTGCTTCTGAAGAAGTGAGCTGTGGCACTGTGGCATTTGCAGATGGGGAAACTGAGTCTCAGAGCATGCTAGAGACTAACCTGGGGGCACACTCAGTGGTGTAAATGCCTGGTTCTCTGACATCGCTCTGTTCCCCTACCACCCGACCCCATTCCCGCCACCCCTGAGGATGTCTCACCCATAAAATGGGGATCATAATCCTGCCTGGCGTGTCCCGGGGTGGGCGTGAGGGTCACAGACGCTAACCAGGGTGCAGCTTTCTGAGTTCCTGCGCTGCACTGGGCCCTGTGCCCTCCCTAATCCTCCTATGGTCCCCAAGAGGTGGGGACCACTATAGCCCTGGATTACAGTGGGGACGGGACAGATGGTCTCAGGCCCAAGAGATAGTGTGAGGTAAGACCTCCGTGCCATCCACACTTGAGGGACACCCCCTTCCTCAGGCCAGGCCCACCCACTGGTCGCTTTGGAGGAAGCTGGCCCCTCGCCCCCACTGAGGCCAGCATGGGGGTGGGAGTGAACCAGGGAGCAGGGCAGGCTGGCCCCCAGGGCTGCCTGGTCCCCCGGGAACATCTACCTCTCTCTCTCTCTCTCTCTCTCCCTAGCCTATCTTTCCGCTCCTTTTTCCTTCTCTTCCTGCTTGTTCCCCTCCTCTTTCCCTTCCTGTGCTGTCCTCTTCTCCCTTCCCCCTCCCTGCCATGTGGTTTGGTTTTTGTTCCTGGCCAGGATCCCGGCTGAAAAGCAGTGAGGGGCTTGGCTTGGACCTCCAGTGTTCTCTTAGAGGACTGAGCCCTCACTACCTCTCACCCCTTCCTCCTCCTCACGGCTGCTGCCAGGGTCCCCAGGTGTCCTGACAGGTTTCCACCCCCTCTTACTGCCAGGGGCCCCACCAGGCCCACCCAAGACGCCCCCCTTGGGCCTGGCTCTGGAGCAGGGCTTCTGTGCCAGGCTTGGCCACGACTAGGGCATTCGGCATCTTGCTTGCTTGCCGTCAGAGGGCGGGGCTGGCAGCCCTGCGAGGCCTGTGAGCCCGGGTAGAAGCTGCTCGGGCCCCGTGCCCATGGCTCTGCAGCTGTGCCATCCCACAGAGAGGCACAAGCACCTGCCTCTCGCCAGGTTCCTGTCCTCAGGCCACTTACCGGGAGTGGCTTAGCAACCTCTCCGAGCCTCTGCTTTTATCCAGTCACATGGGAATGACCCCACCTACCCTCCACCCCCACCAGCGCTGCCGCAAGGAGCTGCTGAGACTACGCTTGTGAAAAGGGAAGTTCAGTAAACTGGCAAGGCTGCCCATGAGAGCCGTCCCCACTTACCTCATCTGTGAAATGGGTCCCCTCAGGCTTTTGTGAGAATCCAGTGGAACACCTGGAAATCTGGAGTGATGTGGAGAACCTCCTGCCCACTCCTAGCCCAGTGCATGCCCCAGTTACAAAGGTCTCCTTTTTCCTTGTCACCGAGGTGACATGGGGGTCATCCTTGGACCGAACCAGGCTGCAAGTATCTCCAGCACCAGGCCAGGTGTCAGTGAACACACGTAGACAGAACCCCTTCCTGCTCAAGGACAGGCTCTGAACTAGGGAGTGTCAGGCACACAGGGGGCTCCCATGGTGGGGGACATGTGTCCTCTTCCAGCCTGCGGGGGAAAGAGCTGCCTGGAGGCATGACCCCCCATCTGCGGCTCCAGGGAGGAGAGGGGTGCTCTAGGTCACAGGAGAGGCAGTACGTTAGCCAACATAGCTGCGTGAGGGGTTGAAGGGGGCAGAAGACAAGCCTGCTTGGGCATTTTTCCCACCTTTCACCTCCCACCCCATCCCAGGGGTGCAGAAGACTAGGCCATCCTGCCTGCCAAGGAAAGGCTAGAGAAGAAGATGGGCAATGAACATGGTGGGGCCCGAGGGGGTCCAGGGCTGCCTGGAAGTCTCTGCCACCCCCCAAGGCAGGCTCCTGTGTGAGTGGCTTCCCGCCCAGGCCCTGCTGTCCACCGGGCCCACTCCTCATGCCAAGCTGAGTTGACCAACATGAGGTAGTTTAGGTAGTGTGGGAGTTGCTAGGATGGGCAGCTGCCACTTAGAAGTGCTCCAGGGAAGGCTTCCTAGAGGAGGTGGGGCTCGAGCTGGGTTTTGAAAGTTTCCAAAATCGGCCTGAAAACGTCCAGAGGAAGGGCATTCCGGGTGGAGGGAACAGCATGTGCAGAAACATGCCAGGCGCAGGGAGATGCCAGCAGCTCCAAAGAGCAGACCCAGGGGACTAGCCAGGCAAGGCAGAGAGTGGTTGCAGGAACCAGGGGTCCTGTCCCGGACCTGGATCCCACACTCAGGCCGGTGGGGTTGCCTAGCGTGGGGAGGTTACTTCCCTCTGGGAAGTAGTGATGGGTTGGCTCATTCTAAGGCTCCGGGAGGCCACCTACAGGACAGACCCCAGGCGTCAGCCTGGATGACTCCCAGCCCTTTTGCCCCACAGGGTGCCCCTCGGACACACGGGCCCAGCACCTTCGACCTGCAGATGAAGTTTGTGTGTGGCCAGTGCTGGAGGAATGGGCAGGTGGTGGAGCCTGACAAAGACCTCAAGTACTGCAGTGCCAAGGCCCGGCACTGGTGAGCTGGGCAGGGGCTGGGGGGGGCACCAGTGAGCCGGGCGGGGGCGGGGCCTGAGGGGGCACCGGTGAGCCAGACGGGGGGTGCCCAGCAGAACTGCATGAGGGAGGAGACCGGGGCTGTCCCCAGGCCTCCCCACAAGCCCCCTCTGTCCTGCAGCTGGACCAAGGAGCGGCGGGTCCTTCTGGTGATGTCGAAGGCCAAGAGGAAATGGGTGTCAGTGAGGCCACTGCCTTCCATTCGCAACTTCCCACAGCAATACGATGTGAGCGCCTGGAGCGGGGAGCAGGGTGGTGGTGGGAGCTCAGGTGTGGGGGGGTTGAGGCGCCCCAGGAGGGCCTGCCTGCGGCCTGGGGCTGTGCAGACCGCGGCAGGACTCAGCCGGCTCTCCCCACGCCCACCTTGCAGCTCTGCATCCATGCGCAGAACGGCCGCAAGTGCCAGTACGTGGGGAACTGCTCCTTCGCACACAGCCCGGAGGAGAGGGACATGTGGACGTTCATGAAGGAGAACAAGAGTGAGGGCAAGAGGGGCGCCTGGTTGGATCAGTGGGTTAAAGCCTTTGCCTTCGACTCAGGTCATGATCTCAGGGTCCTGGGATGGAGCCCCGCATCGGGCTCTCTGCTCAGCGGGGAGCCAGCTTCCTTCCTCCCTCTCTGCCTGCCTCTCTGCCTGCTTGTGATCTCTGTCAAATAAAAAACCTTTAAAAAAAAAAAAAAAGCGTGAGGGCAAGAGCGGGCCCAGTGCCCCCGCGGTGCCAGACCCTCTCCTCAGCAGGCCCAGGAGCACCTGCTCCCTCTCCCTTTGCCACCCCAGACCGTACCCTCTCTGCGTCTTCTCTTGCTGACTGGGCAGTCCAACAGCAAGGCCTGGGGTGCCCCCAGCTCACAGGTCCAGGGGTGGGGGGATTGGGGCAGAACGGAGGGAGGATCCCTTCCCACCGAGCACCTCTCTTCCCCTCCAGTCTTGGACATGCAGCAGACCTATGACATGTGGCTGAAGAAACACAACCCAGGGAAGCCAGGGGAAGGGACCCCAATCAGTTCTCGGGAAGGGGAGAAGCAGATCCAGATGCCCACAGACTACGCCGACATCATGGTAACGGCCAAAGCAGGCCCGGGTCTGAGGCTGATCTGGGAGGGCGTAGGGCAGGCCCGGCATCCCCGGGCGGGGGGTGGGGGCTGGGCCGGGGAGCAAGGAGTGGGCACCCATGGCGGCTGTGCCCCCAGATGGGCTACCACTGCTGGCTCTGCGGCAAGAACAGCAACAGCAAGAAGCAGTGGCAGCAGCACATCCAGTCCGAGAAGCACAAGGAGAAGGTCTTCACCTCCGACAGCGACGCCAGCGGCTGGGCCTACCGCTTCCCCATGGGGGAGTTCCGGCTCTGCGACAGGTGCTCACTGGTCAGCCAGGGCCATGGGGCGGGCTCGGCGGGACCTGGCGGGCAGCGGGGTAGACCTGAGATGAGCCTGTGTCCAGCCCTGGCTCTCCCTGGCCTGGAGAGAGCAGCACACAGAGGGGGGTGTCCCTCGAGGGGACAGCTGTTCCTGGGTATGCGGAGCGTGGGGGCACGGCGGGGCTGGGTGGGGTGGGCTCAGAACTGCCAGACCCCCACCAGGAGCCCTGGGGCAGATCCCAGAGGGGGCTGGGACGGGCCAGCTTTCATCAGGACCCAGGCACCCAGGGAGAGGCTTGTCTTCAGGGGAGGTTAAGCCTCGGGTCCACAGCTGGTGGTGGAAAGGGTGCGGGGCTTGGGCAGTGAGCCTCCTGCTGCCCACAGGCTCCAGAAGGGCAAGGCCTGCCCAGATGGGGACAAGTGCCGCTGCGCTCACGGGCAGGAGGAGCTCACCGAGTGGCTGGACCGGCGTGAGGTGCTGAAGCAGAAGCTGGCCAAGGCCCGCAAGGATATGCTTCTGTGCCCACGGGACGACGACTTTGGCAAATACAACTTCCTGCTGCAAGAGGATGGGAACACCGCTGGTGCCGCCCCGGAAGCCCCTGTGGCCACCGCTGTCACCGGGGAGTAGGGCCAGATCTGGGCCCTCGGGTGAAGTCCTAGGGTCAGGGGCAGGGGTGGGGACAGAGGGCCTGATAGGAGGGTCAGGGTAGGCTAGGGCTGGGGGTGGGGGGCCGCCCTCCTCAGGCAGCCCCCGGCCCCCTGGGGCCCTGTCCATCCTCTCTGCCCCCACCACCTGTGTGCATACCCAGGTGCACGTGCTGCAGCCCTAAGCGGTCCCAGGGTCCTCATCCTGCTGGAACCCCGGGCAGATACCCCCCAACCCCCGGCTCTTCTGGCTGTTGAGGGAGGGGCCTGGCCGACCCCTCCAGCTTCAGCCTACAGCTTTAACTTCTGTCTGGTCCTAAAGGGGGCCCAAAGCTCAGGGCTGGGGAGCCTGGGGTCCCCACTTGAATCTGCAGCAGGAGGGTCCTTCTCCCTGCCCCACCCTCCCCCCATCCTCACCTCCCCTGGAGGGGAGGGCAGATCAGGACACAACAGAGGGCTGGAGGCCCCAATTAGCTTTAAAATGCAGCCCCAGGATGGAGCTGGGAACACAATACAGGTCGCTTGCCCTCTGGGGCCTCAGTTTCCCCTGTGGTTAGAAGAGTGGGAGGGGCTGGGCTTGATGATCTCTGGAGCTTCTCCAGTCAGGCCACCAGCCCAGCCCTCCTCCTGTGGGCCACGGAATGTGGACTGTAGGTGCTCAGAGTCCTTGGAGATGACTCAGCCCAAAAGCCCTTACTGCAGAGAGGGAGACTAAGACCTGGGAAGGACGGGTGTTCTGCCAGGCTCTCCAGCCCAGGGCATGAGGTAGAGCCTGGAGGCAAACTATAGTTGAAAGGTTAAAGACCAGATGTCTGCTGGACCCTCCACGCTCTGGGCAGGTCCATGACAGTCTCCATATCAGTGTGGCATTGGGTCCCAGGCAGCGCCCCCCTGTGGGCTGAGGAAGGGAGGCTCAGGGGGCTGGTCATGTCAGCACCCTGCAGAGGGACTGTCCCCTCCTTAGGATGGTGGTGGGGAGTGTGGCAGCAGGTTACTTCCCACGCCCACTTGGGGTACTGGTAAAGGGCTGGGCACCCATGGACGCACCTTCTGCAGGATGAACCAGAAGGAAGGGGAAGTGTGGGGGTCAGGGAACACGGAGAGAAGGGAGATGATGCTGGGCACCCAGCATGGCCCTCTCCCTCCTCTCCCCAGACCTAGACGTACAGTTGTGCCTGTCTGTCCTAGCCTTCCCTGATTCCCTGCCCCACCAGCTGCCTGGGACCTCAGCCGACCCCCAGCCCCTGCCCCTAGCCACTAAGCCCTGTCCCATCCGTCTCGTCTGACTTGTCTGCGTGCGCCCCTTCCTCTCCATCCCACTCCCTATGGGCAGACCCAGCCTCTCCTGGTTCCCAAGACATTCCAGATTGTCCCACGCGGTTGGCACAAAGAGTGGGGCCCCCCCGGAAGGAACCGGGGACCACAGCAGGAGTCAGGTGTGGGGGTGAGACAGAATGGAATGCCCTTCATTTCTCCTCAAGCAAGGATCGATAGTGAGCGATGATGTGATTCTGGGCACCCGGGCACAGAGAACCCGGTTTCTCTAGCCTTCACTGCCCAGCCTTCCCCAGTAACCATGGCATGCACCCTTTCCTCTCCCAGCCCCCTTCCCCCAGCGGGCCCGCACCCCGGTGCAGGCAGCATAACTGGAGGGGAGGAAAGACCACACCCAAGGTGAGGGCCGTGGCTGTGAATGTCGATGACACTTGTTTTCCCTGATCCGTGGTGTAGCAGTCTGTCGTCACCAGCCTCGTTTTTAGTGTGTATATATGTCGCCCCCGTGATGCATATATACACAGGTATTAAATATATCGCTCTATATAATATTATATATGTGTGTGGTATCCAAGGAATGACTTCTAATGAGGGATAAGATAAAGAATTTGGCCAGAAAATGCAGCCATCCTGGTGTAATTAAGAGGGGTTTTTCAGATGCAGGGACTTAGAGCCGTGGGTTGGAGGGGGGTTGGCAGCGGGGGTGGGAGGGGCCCCTCCTGGGCCCGGTTTCCAGACCATTCTGGCCTCGCTGGGAGAGAGCACTGGTGCTCCAGGAAAGGAAATGATTGGTGTTTGTCTCCCGCCCAGAAGAATAGGATTAGAGTCCAGAATTTTCTTCTTCAACCTGTTATCCATCCAGGGGCCCTTGGGATCTGGGGCTCCCTGGCCTGGCCAGAGATGGATCCCCCTTGCCCCGGGGTTGGGAAGAGAGCAAGAGGCAGGGGGTTGGGGGGGGACAGGAGTCCACTTTGAATGATGAGGGTGATTATTTCAGTCATGACCCCGACTGGGAGGCTTGGAGAGTTGAATCAGGGGCCTGTGCCCACTGCCAGCGGGCAGACGAGACTTCAAACATGGTGCGGTGGGGGGGCAGGTGCCCCAACATGAGTGTCCCTTTGGGGTAGGGGAAAGAGGGATGCTGCATTTCTCAGCTGGGCAGTAATCAATTTAATGGTCCTTTTAAAATGCCTGTGTATTAAAAATTTAAGAATACCACACTTTAATATTAAATATTCATAAGGTCTAGTATCTTGATAATAATGTAGATGTTTTAATAACAATTTTTGTCCTTCTTAAAATAAAATGAAAGAAACTTGATTCTTTTAGCCTTTGTTCTAGAAAATGTGTGCACTTTGACCTCCCCCCCGCCCAACCCCGAGGTGTTGCTCCTGTTCTCCCCTGCCTGTCCCTTGTGCCTGGGGGCCTGGGCTGCTTGGTATCTGTGGGGCAGAGCTGCCTGGCGCGCTGTGCAGGCCTAAAGGCAGACATTCCAAGGGGTGAGGGGCAGAAGGTCTGTGTCCCTGTGTAAACAGGGCAGCCCAGCTGACCCCAGCTCAGGCACCACCTCGGCTGGCGGGGACAAGCTGTACTGTGTACAAGTGGGCCCAGCAGCCAGCCTTCGCCCTGCTCCAGCCTGCCCACTCCCAGCCCTCTGCTTAGGGCCGTCAGAGGTACTCACCCCTCCCCGCTCCCATCAAGGGCACCGTCTTGAGTTCAGAGGGCTGGCTCTGTGCCCTTTCTGGGTGTGGCTTTTCCAGAAAAGTAAGGGGCCACGCCACGCTTCGGAATAAGATTCTGACTGCACCGGGGACTCATCGGGGCCCAGATTTCTCATCCTTAAAAAGGGAGAGTGTATTAGATTGGGGATTCTCGAGTAAGGGAAGCCCATCTCTGCTGGGGTGAGAGGTGCTTTTCCAGATCTCTTGCATCGTGCACGTCGCGGGTGATGGAGGGGAATCCCAATGGGAGGGGCTGCACGTGTTCAAGAATAAGCGCTCACCCCACGGCTTGCACCTACAGTGTGGAGTGGCACCGGGACAGGGGTCCAAGGCCTGTGACTTCTCCAAGGTGGAGTCCTTTGGGTCAGATATGCAGAGGGGCTCAGGGAGTTGATGAATGTCCAGATGAGCCAGAGGAACCACCAACTTGACCGAGCGCCTTCTGCGCACAGGCACTGCATGCGGCGTGTCCGTTCTCTACTGCGGTCCTGCATGTTTGATGTCCAGCTCTTACAGATGTTTGGCAGAGGTTCCAACGACCCTCAGAAAGGAGACAGTAAAACAAGAACCACTGGGAACTGAGTGATTGGCAAAGGTCCCTTCGGCACTGATGTTCTGGGGTTCTCAGCACCCCTGGAAACATCGTAACAACCAAAGTGGCCCAGCAAGTTACCACCCCCGGAGGAAAAATGCAGGCCCGTCCTCGGGCTGGAGAGATCATGAACCTGCATCCAGACCTCCTCGAACTCAGAAAAATCAAAGAAAGTAAGAAAAGCAGGACCTGGCGGATGAAATTCTTAAGTTCTCTACATTCCCCTAAATTCTCTTCTGGTCCTCCTTTAGCTCAAAGGGCTAAACAGTGAGCACCCACTCTATCTAAGGTCCTGGGAACACGGGTCCTGAAGAAACATGGCTTCCCTTGACTCCACAGTCTGCCAGGGGATACAGACCCACAAGGGAGAGTGTAGGAAGGTAGGATAGGCACAGTGGTGGGGGGTACTGCAGGTGTCAGATCCAGGGAGGGCTTCCTGGAGGAGGCAAAAACTAGAAGAGAGGCTTGAAGAGATTGCCGTATCACTGTCATCGACGTGCACGCACTGTCCTGCATCTGTCTTTTTTTCTGTTGTATTTCACGTGTGCGTCTCCAAGCCCCGGTGAAAGCTACGTATTTACCATCGGTGGCTGACCCTTCCTCCATCAAGGGGCCAGAGCTGGCTTGAGCAGCCTCCGGTTACTGAGCCCTTGTCTGTTTCTGGTCTTTACGCCTGTGGGTAAGGGAGGCAGGGAGCGCCCCCCCACCACCACCATGGGCCCCCAGCAGGCTCCTGCCTGCCTCTGGGAAGCTGCTGCTAGGGAGGGCCACCTGGGCAGGTGGGGTGGCTGTCAGGGACCTGCAGGTGGGTGGGGGGAAGCTCTGCGCCTCTCTAGAGAAAGCCCTGGAGGACTCTGCCAGAAAGCTCGTCCACATAACCCCCTATGGGGGGGCCGTCTACAGCGGGTGTCAGACCTCTGAGCCAGGAAACCGAAGTGCAGACATTCCCAACATTGCCGCCTGGAGGTTCCTTCCAGAGGTCTCCAGATTTCTCTGCAGGTTCCCCCCTCCCTATCTTTCCCCTCTCCAGCTGCCTGACCCAGCAACCCGCCGATGTCGCCCCTGTGTGACCACAGGTGACGCTGCCAACTGGATACCCTGGGTGCAGAGGAGGGGTGCCACGTGGGCTGACTTGCAGTGGCATGAAAATCCCCTAAGGGTAGGGACCTGCCTGGCAGGGTTTGTCACAAGGTCTAGGCTGGTGCCAGGTATGCAGTAAGCACTCACGCACCGTCTTAGATACTTAGTACATTTGTACATTGAAAGGGTTCTGCAGAGGGGCGTCTGGGTGCCTCAGCCAGTGAAGCATCTGCTTTTGGCTCAGGTTATGATCCTGGGGTCCTGGGATCGAGCCCTCCCGGGTGGGGCTCCCTGCTCCATGGAGAGTCTGCCTCTCCCTCTCCTCTGCCCCACCCCCCTGCCCCGTGCTCTCTCTCTCTTGCTCTCTCAAATAAATAAATAAAATCTTAAAAGAAGAAGAAGAAAGTGTTCCGCAGAGTTCATGAGGATGAAATGTCATTCGGCAGGTGGCTTATTTCTGAGACAGGTAGGCATTTCCTGTTGCCTCTGGAATCGTGCAGTCTGTGGGCGCCCACCCACTCCACATTCATGGTGAGCTGGTCTAGCACGTGAGGGGATTCTTGGGCCAAGAGGTGGTTCAGTCAGGCCCAGCCTGAAAATCCTAGGTCAGCTTGAGGCAGCCAGCACCCCAGGCCCATCTCACCCTCACCGCCCAGTGTCTCAGAAGCAAAGGGCACTGGAAGGATAAATAAGAAACTAAATTTGTGGGCCACCTGGATTGCTCAGTGGTTTAAGCCTCTGCCTTCGGCTCAGGTCATGATCTCAGGGTCCTGGGATCGAGCCCCGCATCAGGCTCTCTGCTCAGTGGGAAGCCTGCTTCTCCCTCTCTCTCTCTCTACCTGCCTCTCTGCCTACTTGTGATCTCTGTCTGTCAAATAAATAAATAAAATCTTTAAAAAACAAACAAACAAAAAAGTAAGTTTGTTTATGAGGAAGAGGAATGGGGAGGAAGGACAGGAGTAGAAATCAAAAGTGTTGAGCTTTGCACCGTATAATGTTTTTTTATTCAAAACTTGAAATTAATTTGTAATTAATTGGGGGAAAGAGCATAGTTGGGGGAGGGCTAGTAGGAAAGAAGGGAGGGTGATCAGAAGACAGGCAGAGGGCTGTTGGGGAGGGGAGCGTCCAGAGAGGTTCCTGGAGAATTTTTGCTTCTGTACGAAGTAGAGTTTTGGAAAGCTCTAGAAATCATCTACATGGAGGAAACCAAGTGCTTATTGCATCCAGTTTGGCGTGTCAGAGACATGGAACCAGAGCTGGAAGGAGCTTCAGAGGTCACAACACCGAGGAGATTGGGAACTGAGATCTAGAGATCTTGTTCAAGATCCCACATCGGGGGGCGCCTGGGTGGCTCAGTGGATTAAAGCCTCTGCCTTCGGCTCAGGTCATGATCCCAGGGTCCTGGGATCGAGCCCCACATAGGGCTCTCCGCTCAGCGGGGAGCCTGCTTCCTCCTCTCTCTCTGCCTGCCTCTCTGCCTCCTTGTGATTTCTGTCTGTCAAATAAATAAAAAAATCTTAAAAAAAAAAAAAGATCCCACATTGGTGTGTGGCAGAACCGAGAGCCTGACACCATCCCCCACCCCCACCCCACCAGCCAAGTCTGATGTCAGTCTTTGGTGGAGGGGGACATGCAGAACCTTGGCTTTGACCACACATTCAGGTGGCCTGGGGACCACAGAGACCAAGGTCTTGGTGAAAGGGACAGAAAGCAAACAGTTTATTGCCACTAAGGTCCACAGGATGGGCTGGGAAGCAGGACATCACCCAAGATGAGTCTAAGCCGGGTTTGCAGAGCTGCTCCCTCTCGGGGGTGCCTGTTCTGCCTGCCCACCCAGGGCTGGTCTGCCGGGCACCTGCCTCTGTTCCCCTCCCCGGAAGACTAAAGGAATCCCAGATTGCAGCTTTCCTCCATTCTTTTAGGACAGCAAGCTTCAGGCTCTGCTGATGGTGCAAAGTCCCACTTACCCACACCCCATGCAAACCCCCGTGCCTTGCAGGACACGCGTGCCTTGCATACAGGTGTCAGCGCCGAAGCATGCCAACACCCCTCGAGGCTCACAGGCTCGCAGGTACATGTGTGAAGCCCCTTCCTGTGCGGGTGTGTGCTAACAGAGTATATCCTTTGTGCTGAGCTGCCTGGGGTGCCGGATGTCAGGTCCCAGCCCACACTGATTCCCAAGGCCGGCCCTGCCCTCTGCAGCGCCGGGCCACCAGCAACCCCCAACCGCCCCCACCCCCCGCCGAGTGTGCCTGAGTGTGCAGTGCACGCTCGCTGTGGGCGTGGAGCCATCTCACTGCTCTCACCTGGCAGGCCCTGGTTATGGCTCCCAGCCTGGGGGAGAACTTCCCTTTGCAAAGTTAGATAACAGGCCGGGCTCTCCGTCAGAGGATTGGCGCGGGGGCTCCACGTGCTGTGGCTGGCGCAGGGCCAGGCCCGCCCTGCCAGGCAGCGGGAAGGGAAGGCCTGGCTGCAGCCGGAGCTGGCGGGTGGCCGAGCCGGGGGTGGACGGGTGGGCCGGGGCCTCTACTGCCCATTGGCTGCCTCGGGCTCCCGCCCCGCCCGCCTCCAGAGCCTGCGGCTCCCAGGCCAGCTCCTGCCTCTCTAGCTGCTTCTGAACTCCCCCGAGCAAGCACCTCCTGCCGGGCCATGTCGAGCTGCGACCGGATTGGAGTGGCCCCTGCCATGGACATGCCTGAGGTCCTCAAGTCCCTGCTGGAGCACTCTCTCCCTTGGCCAGAGAAGAGGACAGGTAGGAACGGGGGTGGCTTGCGTTGGCCGTCTGCCCAGGTACCCTGGAGCGGGGGTGCGGGGGGGGCAGTCACAGGCACGGTGGCAGGACTGGCATCTCCGAGCTGGGGAGGGTCCCCGGCCGGGGTCTGCCCCTGGCCCCTCCCTGGGCAGGAGCAGGGCTGGGTGCAGAGAGG